GGAGGGGGATGAGGCGTCCTTCATGGAAAGACCTGGACTGTCAGGGGGCGAGCTCTCTGAGTTGGCAGCTCGTAGAATACCTGAGGACTTAATACGACGACTTGAGAGGATTATGCGCAGGTATGAATATTTTGTCAGTATGGAACAAGGCCCTGAAGCTCGTTGGGCCTTGGGGCGTTGGCTGCTGGTGTCGCAAGCGGGAGCTGAAGTGCAGGATGATGCGGAAATTCCAATTCGTGCCAGAGCTCAAACACCTTGTCACTACCCTCTTCGTCGTGAGCCTGTGGACTTGGACTTGCGTGCTGAACTTATCAGCTGGACAGATGAAATCACCAATGCCATGGCGGATATCTACAGACAAGCTGCACTTGACGCCCATCCTGGGGAGCTTCGAGACCTGACCGTGCCACCTGTTGTCGAACCAATGTCTGAACCCTCGTCCTCTTCGGGGAGACGTGCAACAGATAGATCCAGAAGTCCGGGGCGACATCGTCTACACACTGGGGCGACTGACGAGGGCGATGTTACTAGTCTCATGGACACTGGTAGACCTGTGGACGATGGGGAGGATATTCTGGACGCTGATAGGCCTGTTGACAATGGGGAGGATATTTTGGAGGAGGAAGCCTGCAGTGAACCTGATGTGGATATTCCTGTGTCGGATGGTGAAGAGGAGACTCCTGGCAATGCTGGGGAGACTCCTCTTGGCTCTGGGGACCTGGCGGCCGGGCCGTCTATGGGATTGCCCGGTCTGCTTGGCCCCGTTGGTTTGGAAGCGCTGGACTCAAGTTCGCAGAGGATGGAGGATTTGGTCTTCCAGGAGCAGGCCTTTGGCGACAGGGCGTTCCAGGTAGAGCATGCGGTTCGCGGGGCGATGCATACGCTTGCGCCTGGCACGGCCCGGGAGGTGGTGCGTCGCATACTCTCGCGGGCTGACGTCATTGCAGAAATCCAGTTCTGGCTCCAGCGTGCTCTGCAGCAGGCCTTAAGGACGTGTCCACATGGTGATGGTGCTATACAGTGGGGCGATGCAAGGGAAGCAGAAGAAGGGATTTGGCGACGGGTTGTTGGACTTGAAGCAGACGACCACATGGTCCAGCAGCTACGACAGGTTGTCATGGCCAGGCTTCACCGTCGTGAACGAGAGCTTCGTGAGCTTGAGGCTTCGCTCCTGGCTACAGCTACTGGTGGGGGCGCGTTACCGAGCACTGGTGGAGGAGATCTACCGCGTGGTTATTTGCCCTCTATTGCTCCATCCTGGCCGCGTTCTGCTATGGTGGGGAGAACTCCTGGTGATGATGCTCATGGTCCAACACGTGGCGGCAGAGCTAGACCCTCCTCGGCACCGTATCTAAGGCCTCGGCCATCCTCTCGTGAACATCGACCTACCGATGACATAAGACCGGCAGACGGTAGTGCCCTTACTACAGATGCCCAGGGTGATCCTCGTCTTCCGCAGCTGCGTGGTCCTGCTCCTCTTCTACATGCTTCAGGACTTGATGAAGGTGATACTAATATGACAGTGAGTCATGGTGAAGGACATGTACCACAGGATGTGTGGCCTGCTAATACTGCCGGCCTACATGATTCGGGAGTTGCTGGTCACCATGCTGAAGAAGAACTTTCTGGACTACCTGTGCAACCTGTACGTGCTCTTCTACCGGGACGGGCGCTACCTGAACCTGCTCTTCGACCGGGAGGTGATGTTCAACATGATGGGGGACATGGCCACACGTTGCCGGTGGACAACACTTGTGGGCATGGTCCACGAAGTCTGGAAGAGGATGATGATAGCCACCAGTTGCCGACGGTACCATGTGCTGAACCTGTTGGCTCTGCTCCTCCTCTACAAGATTCAGGAGATGCTGATCGCCATGGAGGAGGAGATCATGTTGGGACGCATGCTCAACCTGTTGACTCTGCTCTACCTCTACATGATTCGGGAGATGCTGATCACGTGGGAGATTATGCTGGGATGCAGGCTTTACAAGAACATGCCTCTCTGCCGGTTCGTCCTCCACCTGCATCTGCTGCTGTGGGGAGTGTCACCTTGACTCTTGGTGGACCACAACCAGAAGAAGAACGTGATGATGATGGTGCTGGGCCTCGTGAACCTTGAGGTTGGCGTGACTCTGGGATGACCGTGGTTGATGCGCGTCGTCCTGGTGCTGCTTTCCTCGAGACGGACTACCCGATTCAGTTCGTTGAGGTCATGTTTCACCGGTGTAGGTCCTCTCGGACTGGTGCTTCTGTGAAGTTGCCACTACACGTTAAAAAAAAAAACCCAAAGCCCTAAACCCTAAGTCCTAAACCCAAAGCCGCAAGCCCCGAGCTTTTGGGACCCAAGGCCCATCAGAGCTGCTTCGACTCGGGGGCAGTCACCAACCAGGCCTGGCTTAAGTTTCGGGGTTCCTTTAAAGGGTTCCTTTAAAGGGTTCTATAAGGGCTACTGTAAGGGTTTAGAGTTTAGGGTTTAGGGGCCTTAATAATTAGAATAGGGTTTCGGGGTTTCGGGTGTGGGGTTTAGGTGTGAAGGTTGGGGCTTAGAGGGTTTAGGGTTTATAGGGTTTAGGGTTTAGGGTTTTTAGGGTTTAGGGTTTATAGGGTTTAGGGTTTAGGGTTTAGGTTTCAAGGTCTGGGGCTTAGGATTCAAGGTTTAAGTTTCAGGGTGGTGCGGGGTTTAGGTTTCAAGGCCTGGGGCTTAGGATTTCAGGTTTAAGTTTCAGGGTGGTGCGGGGTTTAGGTTGCAAGGTCTGGGGCTTAGGATTTTAAGGTTTAGGGTTCAGGATGAAGGGTTGGGGTTTAGGGTGAGGGGAAGGGTTTAGGGTTTTGGGGCTTAGGTTCAGGGTCGTGGGTATGTAGCAGATAGGCACGCGTTCCCAGGGCTCTAGGCCCTAGTCGGAGACCAACACTTTGAGGAGTACTTAGAACCCTGTATTCTGGATTTTTGTTTGTCAAACAACCTCGCCACCCTAAACCCTAAACCCTAAACCTTCGCTTTTTGGTCGGTGAATTCCCGAAAGTTCGCGACAGCTAGCGCTTTACTTACAATCACCTTTCCTGAAGAGAGATACATGGGAGTTTCCGAAAACAAGGGGTACCTTATTTTGGGGTCCTTATAATAAGGATCCTACTATTTAGGGTACTATATTGGGGTCCCCTACTTTCGGAAACCCCCACATGTATGAAGTTATTTTGCTGGTTCGGTCTCGCTTCATGCTCCATGAACGCATGCCAGCATGTGAGTCGCAATGAAAGCTATCGTGGGCCTACTCTATTCGATTTCCGTGTGTGAATCCGCCCCTATACACCACAAAAAAGCCGCTATTCTGTTCACAAAATCACAAGGTCTTTGCCGCATTAAGCCGCAAAAACCCTAAAACCTATACTCAAAGGCCCTGACACCTAAAGCTCATATCCCAAACCCTAAGCCGTGAATTTACTGAATCTAACGATTTCTATCCTAATGTAAACCATAAACCCTAAGCCCTAAACCCTAAACCCTAAACCCTAACCCTAGACCATGATTGCAGTGTTGAAGCCCCAAGTCTCAGCGGCCTGAGCCGCGAGGGTGGATGCGGATCTTGCTGGGCCTTTGCGGCTGCCCATGCGATGAACGGGCGGCTTTGCCAGCAGGTGGGCGTAATGGGTTTAGGGTTTAGGGGTTTAGGGGTTTAGGGTTTAGGGTTAAGGGCAGTGGTTTGGGATTCAGGGGCTTATAGGGTCTACCTTAACCCGCCAAAACCCAGTTTTTTTGGGTAGGTTCTCATTATACACCCAACTATGGGACTTATAGGGACCCTACAACACAGGAGGTTCTGGTGGGTTATAGGGTTGAGAGTTTAGGGCCCCTTCCTTTTAGCCTTTGAGAGGTTTTCATACGGCTGATGATATAAACCCTGCATTATGCAGACTAAGGAATCTACCCTAATTCCCATAGTTTTGGGTCCTTAAAGGTAATGCAGGATTTATATCATCAACAGTAGGATGACACTTTAGGGGTTTATTGGGGTATTGTCTCCTACAGGGTTGTTAACTATAGGGTTCAGCGTGCCTACACATCTGGTTTTTGCTATTCCTTCAACCAGCTCTTACACAGGTATCCGAAAGGCCAAAATCTATTCGACATAGGTACATGGATGGTTGCCTAAATTGGGGTCCGTTTTGGGGTCCTTCTTAAGGGTGCCGCCCTATATTGGGGACCTACAAAGGCACCCTAATTTAGAGAACTATCCACATGAAGCCTTGGAACACTAGGGCCCTTCTCCCCTAAACAGCCCTCGACAGGCATCCCAGGTCTGGGTACTTGAGCCCCTTCCGGAATCCAGATCGACATTGAGAGCTTTTGGCTTCCGAGGGGTCTACTGTCTGTAGGTTTCTGGAAGTGCACTTTCCGGATTCCAGAAACGAAGGAAGGTAGTGTAAGACCCAAGACGGATACTATAGTTACCATTCGACGGCATGCGAAGGACCCCAAGGAAAGGGTTCCACTCGAGACTAGCCCTGAAAGCAGGACCAGACCGACATCAACAGCAACAGTGACGGTCTGGGCCGGCGATTCGTCAGTGTGCAGGTGGGGCACGCGCATTTGCAAAGTGTGGTAATGTATTGGGGGGGTGGGGGGGGTACAAATCTGCTTCTCATTGGGGTCTTTATCCGGGTCACTCTTTCCTCTGAAATTCGCAGGTTTCTTGCAAAGAAGCGCGTTTGAGTTTGATTGTTGTGTGTTTTACTGATCGGTGTGGCGTGCGGGGTTGGACTTACGTACGTCCTGTGGCTTCGTTTTCAGCGCCCAATCGAATGAAATCGCCCAGAGACACAAGCTTTGCATTCTCTGGTCGTGCTAGTAGCCATCGGGGTCTCGTCCCTAAATATGCTTGAGACCCCAGCTGTGTCCATCGGAGTATACTCCCGACACGGCTTCGCCCAGAGAGCCGAATGCCCCTTAATGGTTGTGTAGGACAGGACTCCTTTCTAGGTGATGGAAGGAAAACCGGTAGGCTCTCTGCCCAAGCAGCTGGGAAACATCGACGCCCCGAAACTCAATAAACCCCACAACCCCTACACCCTAAACCCTAAACCCAACAACCCCTACACCCTAAACCCTAAACCCACAACCCCTAAACCCCTAAACCCAACAACCCCTACACCCTAAACCCCAAACCCCAAACCGTCTACACCCCAGCCCGCTCGGGAGCCCCAGACCCCTGAAGCCCACACACCCCCTGAGCCATCCTGCGAGCCCCGTGTCCCCGAACCCTAAACCCAAACCCTGAACCCCGATCCCTAAACCCTAAGCCCTAAACCCTAAGCCCTAAACCCTAAGCCCTAAACCCTAAACCCTAAGCCCTAAACCCTAAGCCCTAAGCCCCGAACCCTAAACCCTAAATCCAAAGGCCCCAGGACCCTTCAACGCCTCCTTAAACGCCAGACTCCGTGAAATTGAAGGACCCCGAGATCTCGGGTTGCCTCTAAAGGTCAAAGCGCCCTGAGTACCTATATTATGGTTACTTATGTTGGTTTAGGGTTTAGGGTTTTGGGTTTTGGTACTTACCGTTGGGAAGTGGAGGCCCAGAAAGCCGGAACATCGTTCGACTTATGCCCTCAAGGAGAAGCATAAGGGATCCCAGTACCGATCGTCTGTAGTCCATCCTCCAACTTTCTGGGGTCCATGTTGAAAGAGGTTACTCTTCATAGCCTGTAAAATACGTAAACCCTAAACCCTAAACCCTAAACTCTAAACCCTAAACCCTGTTAGACATGTAGCCCAGTGACCCATTACTTAGGCAACTGGTGCAAGCGAAGGGTTGGCTCTATTCCCTGATGCCTTAAATCTAGTTACCATACACTATCATACACTATCCGAATCCCTTATATCTATCTATCTATCTATATATATATATATATCTTGTTGCACTCCCTGAGCCCAAACAGTAAAACTAAACCGTATAAACCCTAAAAGGATCAATCCCACAGAATTCGCTTCGAAGCAGCTCTGACATCCTTAAAGGCAGTCCTTGGCTGCAGCACCTCCGGCCAGGCGAAATTTAGGGCTTGGGCTTAGAGGCAGTAGGCTTCTGGGTTTAGGTCTTTGGCTTTGACGGTTCGGGCTTTAATATAGGGTTCAGGGTGTTTAGGGTTTAGGGTTTGGGGTTTTAGAGTTTAGAGGGGTTAGGCTCAGGGCTTGGGGTTTCGGGCTTCCTGTTTATACGCCTGCGGCAGAGAACGCGCCCGTGTCGAATGAACCCCCCGTAGTTTCTCTTAAGCCTAATGAATAAACTGCTGCTCCGCATACGACTCAGTGTGACATGCGAGTCTCAAGAATTGGTAATACGACTCCTCAGGATTCCTTGTTGCAGCTATTGTATCATGGACCCCCCCACAAACCCTATTCCAGCCACTGAGGCCCCTGTAGTACAACTTTGGCTTCGGGTTATGATCTCGCGGCCTTCAGGGCTGCGATGGCGGCTGGATGTCGAACGCCTTCAACGAGTGGGCAGCTTGTCTCGGCTTCAGCTGGGGGAGCCCTTCCACGGCTGAGTACAGTAGAAGCCCAAAAGTTGGAAGCCCAATAGCTTCAATCCTTAAGAGTCATGTTTAGGGAATCCCAGCACTTACTCCGGTTTCCGCCTTTTTGGGGTTTACCATAGGGGTTTAGAGGGCCCAGGGATTTCGGAGTTCGTAAGTCGTGAGTAAAAAGGTGCACACGAGACTCTAGTTGATGAGCTGCCTTTGGCTTGTTCCAGGAACTTATTCTGAATCTCATGAATCCTCCAGGGGATTCCAAGGGGTCGTTTAAAATGAGTTCATTATGGGGGTAGTTCTCTAGATTAGGGCCCCCTTCTTTAGGTCCCCCAATGGGGTGCGGCACCCTTATAAAAAGGACCAGTTTAGAGAACCACCAATGGCTCTAAGGCGCTTAAGTTGAAGCCCTGTTGTTCCTTCTGTCTACGTGGCCAAGCCCAGCTCTGGCTATAGAACTCCGGCAGCATAGGGGTCTGAATACTTAGCTTCTTGGCATCTATAGCCGTACGTGTATAAATAAATAAATTAATTAATTAATTAAATAAATAAATANNATATATATATATATAAACAACCGTCTGAAAAAATACACCCAATCTAGTGAACACCCGATGCGTAACTTCTCGACATTATATATGACTCCGGTATGGAATCCCGAAAGCCCTAAACTCTAAACTCTATCACGGATGCAGTTACGTCCCGGATCCTGAAGCTGCAAGAGGCTCGTCAGACCCTGAGACATGTGTGAATCCTTCTGTACTTGTTGAGGACCCTAGCGTGAACAACGAAAACCCAGCTTTGTGACGCCTGTCAGGAACCTGCGAAAAGTAGGTGATGGTAGTTAAAGGTGTTTTAACGACCCCCCCCCCAAAAAAAAAANNAAAAAAAAAAAAAAAAAAAAAGTAAGCCCCTTTTGGCACCCCAAAACCGCTAAAACCCTCAGCCCCACGTCGCGAGAAGGAGGAATAGCACCCTAAGCCCGATCCCCTGACATCCTAATCATCTCGACTCTCTGCCCCTTTGAAAAACACCTGCCCAACCCTAAAGCACTAAAGCCCTAAACGCTTGCAAGAGTCAAGAGGAGATTGGTGGTGCACCTCTGGCCCGGGACTACAGCTACTTGGCTCTTTGTTTGGTAGGGCTGCCATCGGGCCTTTTTTATGGGGTTTGCGGGGCAGTCATAGGGTTTTGGACGGTCTGTAGGCGCTTAGATTTGCTGTATTACTTGGTCCGAACACGACCCGCACCCCGAACCCCCAAATCAGAAGTCCCTATGAACCCTGAATTCGCAAAGCCCAACCCTAAACCCCAAACCCTCAAAGCCAGACCCTCAGCGCCAAATCCTACACCCCCAAAGCCAACAACCCAACGAGCCTCAACCTCAAACCCCAAAGCTTAGCCGAAACCCAGAACCCCAAAACCCGCAAACCTCCAAAACCC